AGTGTGTGTTTATGTAAAAAGTGTTCCATGTTCCTGTCTAACCGACATCTTACAAGTTAGAATTTAGACATACAAGACCTCAATTATACCCTTCATTCAATTCTCAGCCCTGAGGTGCTAATTCTAGTGAAAAATTAACTTGGTATTGGCTGCTCAAGAGCCTAACATTAATTTTCATGCATTCTCAAGCTAATTTTTATTTTTACCATATATCCTACTATTAACTTTTTCATGCACACATCTGTTTCCATTTACAAACACCCAAAAATACTTTCAGCATTAACGCATATCCTCCCAAGAGGAACATTTGATGGACCCTTAGTCGTTGATGTAGTATGCTGCTGCCCTCCGTGTTCATCAGCTATTTTCTTTTACTGTATGACGCTCTTTTTTTTTCCCCCCTAAGCCATCTTCTTCCGTCCTTGACTAAGGCTTGTAGTTGCTGGCCACTTCTGGGCTCTAGCCATCAATGTTTCTTTATTCTGTGCTTGAACTGGTTGTTAGATGCATCATGCTATTCTTGCAAAATATTAAGCTGCAAATTGGCTGGGATAGCCGGTTTTAATTCATTATTCTCATTTGTTGGCTTAGCATAAAATAAGAGATTATCAATTATCACAGAATTTGCTGCTTTGTTTCTACTGACCAGTCATTGGATGTTCAAAATTTTCCAGATCTTTTAAATATACATAGATATGACTAAATTCTGGAACAGTTTGTAATTTGGCAATGATTTCATGACAGTTCAAGATTTTCGACGTTTATATAGAACCTTGCCCTCTTTGTCTAATTTTATTCATTTTATTCAAGGCATCGGCCACAACATTGTCTTTTCTGGGTGTATGTTTAATTTTTAAACTGTATTCTTGTAATTTTAAGGCCCATCTGATTAACTGCGAAGACAAACTTTTTCCTGGAGTATAATCGACCCACAGCAACATGATCCGAATGTACAGTCATTGGTGCCTTGCGGAAATATGCTTTAAATTCAGGTATCATTAAAAGTACAGGCAAAGCAGTCGCAGACACTTAACCAATACCAGTTAGCTGACAGGGACAAGTGGCCGACATAGACACTTAGCCAACATGGACACTTAGCAGACAGGACACATAACTGTCAACACATTTAGTCAACAGGACACTAAGCCGACAGTGACGTTTAACTGACACATACTCGATAATTATTCAAACTTATTATCAATTACAAAATTTCTCGATTTCTCCATTAAGTTCAATATTTCAGTTATTTTTTCATTATCAGTAAAATTCATTTTTCGATTCTTAAAGATCTCATATGTGCTTTTAATTTTTGCGTTAATTTAGCATTGTTTGATATGTATCGTGTCGTTTAGTGTATACTGGCCAAATTGAAAAAGCGCTGAAATTTCTCGTCGGGGAATATGAATTAAATTTCAAAAGGAAAAAAGAATTTTTTTTTAGCTAAGTACGGCGATCACTTAATTACATTTGGGATATTCAAAAATTATCCGTAAAGCTTCTTCATTTAATAATCTGGGTTCCTTTGAACACTTTCACATCATTAATAATTTTTCTTGTTTACTTAATGATATTAATTTTCCAATCTCACTCTTCCAAATTTCTAATACCTTTACATTTCATTACTACTTTACTCATTACTTTTCATCACATCATGTTACATTCTTTCCCTTACAAAACCGTTTGGCTCCTCCCACTAATAAAATTTTCATTCCCTGTCATGAAACTTCTGAATAATGCAATAAAAATTATTGTTATTCTTGAATTATACTTTTTTATAGAAACATATGGTGGTGACGGTTAGTTTAGCAAATATATTTTATTTTGTTATTAAAAATTTTAAAAAGTGAATTTTTAAGTCAAGCAAGCATAAAATATACATTTATATTTTTTCAGCATTTTATTATGTTCTAAGTTGTTTATAAATCTATCTTCCTTGAAGTTTATATTACTACACTGAAATAAAATGTTTGTTTTAAAATGTGTGAAGTCATTTAAAACAATTCTGGCTGTGATATAGCAATGCAATATTCACTTACAGTGGCATGTACCCTTGCAGGTATCCTGTCAATTGATAATTTCAGCTTCATATCTTCAGAGCCATGCTTTTTACTGCTTTTATATACGCCAGTTTATTAAGTCTGCATTAATGAACTGACATTATCAACATCAGATCTACCAGGAAACAGCAGATTACCATGTTATTGGTTTAAAAAACTTTCTTTAGAACTTAATTTTTACGGTTTTCCCTTACCAAATTCACAGCAGCAAATAAATATTTATCAAATGATGCCACATTTATTGCTTTTTAATTAGTTTTATAATTTTACAAAACTTCTGTAGCATTGTAGGGTGTCCCTTATTTTGCATAACAAATTTACTTTAAGTACCTTTCCTGAACTCCTAAAATTTTTCATCTCTCTTATTTCAGCAGCATTTGCTTCTATTGAGTTCTTCTATTCCAGGAAAAGAATTGGCGGTCAACTTAGCGTTTTCGATCATATCCAATATCCTTCCTCATCTCAGCAGCTTCATTCTGCTAGCAGTAATCATGACCATAGCAGCTTTCAGTTGCACTTGAACTTTAAACATAATTTACATATATATTCAAAGATACTCAGAATTCTGACAGCAGTTGTTGCAAGCTGTAGGTTTATAGAGACTTACTTACAGCTACATCAATAAAATAAATTATTTTTTACATTTAAAGTATATCATAGATCACTAAATCACTCACAAAGCAATGGCTAAAGCAGTAATCATGCAACAAGAAGCTCAAAACAGCTGCACAACTCTGAACCAAACTAATTACTGACTAACTCCAAAGGCAACCAATATTCATGTCATCACTGAGAGGAACAATGAAATTTTTCCAAAAGCTTTTAGAAAAATCACTCCTAAAGCTCTGAAGGTGTGTTTTATAGAAACACCCAGAATGTCTGATTTCATAATGAATACAACTTGTAGTAGTTCAATAAATCTGCATTATGGCAGTAGAAGTTGGAAAATCTCAACCACTTGGTTTGAATTGCAAGGAAACATTGTGACTTAGAATTAATTAACTTATTATAAAATGTAAGTAAACCTAGATCCAAACTACTCTCTAAGTGATTCTCAGTGTACATAATTAGATCTGATACTATTCTCCAAGTGATTGTCAAAAGATATTATTATAACATAAGTAGCTTTGCATCTAAATATAAAATACAGCAAATTTATGTATTGGCATCAAATGAATAAAACATGCTATCAAACTCTGGTTTTTAACTATTTCAATGTAGTACAGTCAAAAGTCGTTAATTCGGACACCCATAATCTGGAATGATCTATAATCCGGACCTCAAAAATACAAACTTTCTGCGCATGCGTCAACGATTAATGCGTTGACGCATGCGCATAATACGCTTACACATGCGCATTTAATGTATAACGGACGGTATAAGCTAAGCTAAAATTATCTAATTATCTATTTCAGTTAATGTTGCAGATTGCGTTGTTCCTTAATCTTCGAATCGGATCCGGCTTATTATTTTTGAAGACTGTTAGAGCAATTTTATAAAAGTAAGCTTGAACTTTTGATTATTGAAAACAGAATTTCCAATATATATTTACTAATATGTAAAGGATCTACAAAGTGAAAGTATGTTTCGAAGTCCATTAAACAAAAAGTGGAATTGCTGCAAAAAATGGATAAAGGCATAATCCTTTGTTTATCTAACTGTTCCGAAATCTGTTTATTAATTTCACGTTGCTCTGCGGTAAGGGGGGGGGTGCCACGGCGCGCAATGAATTGGAATTTGATCTGTCAGCACTATCCTTATCTTCAGGGCAGATGTTTTTATTTTATTTGGCTTATAATTCCTTACTAAATGTAGTATTTCATCTGGATGTACTCCTTTGATATGATTTAAATCAAATTCCTCATCATTATAATTCGCTTCCGATAGTGAAGAAAAGTGACACAGAAGTTATTGAAAAGGAAAAAATTTCGATTGACAAATTAGTCGGTATTCTCGACACAGCAATTATAGGACTTCAACAGCGGAACTTTGTAACTGAAGAAGAAATTATGTCTGTTTATAGAATTAAAGAGAAAGTATTATCACATAAAAAGAAGCAACTTAAACAACTTACATTGAAAAAAATGTTTAATAAAGTAAACAAATAAATATTAAGCTTTTTTTTTGTAAATTTTGATACTCTTTAGCTCATAATTGCTCTTTATTTCATAAATTACAGTTTCATATTTTTCATTTTATAATTTCTGCATGCCATCTTACTAGATTTAAAGTGATGATCTAAAATCCGGAAAAATCGATAATCCAGAATCGCCGAAGTCCCGACGAGTCCAGATTAACGACTTTTGACTGTATATTCTGAAGGCTGTAGGTTTATAAAGATTTATTTAAAGCTACATCAATAAAATAAATTATTTTTTACATTTAAAGTATATCATAGATCACTAAATCATTCACAAAGCAAAGGCTAAAGCAGTAATCTTGCAACAAGAAGCTGCACAACTCTGAACCAAACTAATTACTGACTAACTCCAAAGGCAACCAATATTCATGTCATCACTGAGAGGGAAGATGAAATTTTTCCAAAAGCTTTTAGAAAAATCACTCCTAAAGCTCTGAAGGTGTGTTTTATAGAAACACCCAGAATGTCTGATTTCACAATCAATATAACTTGTAGTAGTTCAATAAATCACTGTAGTTTGTTACTTAAAAATACACACTTCGTGGTCTTAGTGACTCTCCCTCATTTATGATCATAGTACGTGTCATCATCACTCAGCAAAGGAATAAAATAGCAATTAGGATAGATTTCAGATTAGAAATTTGGATTTTTCATAGCAGGTATTACCATGGTTATGAAACATAATTTGGGGAGGCATGGCCTTGAAGTGTTTATTTTAAAGTAACAGATTATTGTTAGGTGCTTAAAATAAATGAACAAATGTATATTTTAAAAATAATATAAAAAATAAGTATTGCTACTACCTGATCATTAATTTTAAGATGATACTTCTTGGCAAACCTCTGATTTAAAAAGACACAGTTTTGCTGACTACCCAATAAGCTTCTTGAGCAGGAAACATACAAATTAAAAGAATCTGTTGAAACAAGAAAGACCTGACATTCTTCCTATTGAGGAAAAAATAATAAGTCAACTGCAGGCAAATTAAATACATAAAAACGCATATCTGTGTAAACATCAAAAAAGAATATACATGTACAGACTAGCAATTCTGCAAACAAAAGAAATGAATCAATTATTGCGACCTAAAATTATGAGCATATGCAATATATAACAGAGTGGGGAAATATAACTACTAAGAAAAACAGCATAAACTGCAACAGAAGCTGTTTCTTTTTATTAGATACATACAAACGCAAAATACACAGTAGTGTGCAAATTAATTTGAAAAAGAATGTATTTTCACATGATTTGATTTCTGAGTTTGGCAGTCCTAATTTACAGTTGATATTTAACTGTGATTAGACTTAACTGTTTACTGCTTTGTACCAAATTCCTTTTACATTATTCATTGTTTTTCTCTTTTTTTTTTTTTTTTTTTTTTTTTTTTTAAAAAAAAAGCTGCATTTCACGTTTTAAATAAATAAATCAGGTTGTTTTTAGTTTCTGACATTTTTAGTATCACAGAAATAAAAAAATAAGGTTTAAAATCACTCATCAGTGATCAAAATGCATGTAGGAGGAAAAAGTTGTGTCAAAGTCATAATACCTATACTGCAGAGCTATGAAAGACTTATCATTTGGTCAGATGAGTCTTGCTTCACACTGTTTTTGACTTCTAGGAAAGTTTACATCTGGTGAACGCCGTCTCAAGCATATAATAGAGACTGTTCTGCTGCCAATAGTGAAACATGGCAGGGGTTCAGTCATGGTATAGGGAGCCATATGGTGGCATTCCATGGGACCAATCACTACTGTACAAGGCCACATGACTATTCTGGCTGATCACACACATCCAAATGAAAAAATTTTGTTTCCCAATGGTGATGTCGTATTCCAAGACAATAAAGCTCCTGTTCACTCAGCTCACACTGGTTTTCTGAGTATGAGAGTGAACTTTCACATCTACCATGGCCACACAGTCACCAGATATCAATATTATTGAGTCTTTCAAGGCTATCTATTCTGGTCTGAGAAGACGGCCAGCTGTTTTGAAAGCCAACGTTCTTCCTGCACTGTATTAGTCACAGCAATATGTTTTTATTTCAGTTTTTCCATATTTTTGTTCAACCCTTGTTCATACTAATCAACAGAAAAATTGCCATTTATTAAACTCATCTCTGCCGCTTATTAGACTCAAACTGGCTAAAGACCGACATTTCAGTGCCAAACCATCTCACTTATACCTATCAAAGTTTTCTGTATTTCATGCAATGACGACCATATCTTTATCATTCAGGTATGTAATGCTTCATTAAAATGGGTTTGAAAAAAATTTTCAAATCCATCAGTCTCTGTATCTCTGAGACACTATTTTTACAGCTTTTTGTTCACACAGGACTTCAGAGGGACAGACTAAATCTAAAGGTTACTATATCTTATCTAAAGGTTACTAAAAGCAATCATCTAGAGTAGAGGCACTGTTAATGAGTAAAATTTCCTTCTCAAATACCAGCTGATAGTAGGTGGAATTGCAACTTTCGTATCACATCTTTTAAGGTTTCTACATTCAAAATCTCCCCTTTGGGAGAGAAACATTATGTTCACAGAGAGTTAGTTATAAAAAAAGTTTTCGAAATTATTCTAAGCATTACCATATATTATGAGTCTTGGAAAGAAGGTGATAATTGTAGGCTGGAATAAAAGCAATGAAAGCATTGGCCATGTTTGTAACCACGAAGTTGGAAATTGACTAAGTGGGCTAATGACGATCTTTCTGCTGGCTATAAATGTAGATTTTAAAATTTGAATAAATCACTGGAAGTAACATTTTTTCAATCTGTTGCATTCTTAGCTTGTAACATGTCAAAAATGCCAAGCAAAAAGATTTAAGCCTGAAAGAAAAGAAGAAATTAAAATGCTTTAATGTTCTTGATAACTACACCCAAAGAAAAACTACATTTAAACTGGGAATTTCCAAATTACGCTGCACCAATACTTAAACCATGAATTATAATTAATGAAGAATTAATAAAAAATACAAATGTCTCAAGAAAACACACACATACAAAAAGAGATAAAATCGAAAGACCTTAAAATTGCTTTTGTAGAATGGTTTCAAGCTATAAAACTAAAATTTCTTCCGATTTCTAGCACTTTTCTCACTAATTTGCTAAGTGCTAGGAGAGAGTTTCATATCAACTAAGAGATGGCTCAAACGTGAAATCCAACAGTGTTTATGAGTGTCATAGTGAGAAGAAATCAGCAGATCATTGTGCAGCTCATAACTGGATAAAAGATGTTTCACTTGGGTGGAATGGCTTGTAAATGAATACAAGCCACATGAAATTTAGAACATAAACAAAACTACACCGCATTACAGAACATACATTAAAATAATTAAAAGTAATACAGCAGCTGGTTTAAGAAATAGATGGAATAAGTTACTGTGTAACTGATATGCAATATGGACCCAAAAATTAAGAAAACACTGGTTACTAACAAATGCAGAAAACCTCAATATCTGAAAGGAGTTTAGAATTTACTCCTGACCTACCATAGCAACAAGGAAAAGAGGTACTTTTCCCGTTTCTTTTTCTTCCTTTCTTCTATTTATTTATTTATTAAAAGGTACAGTGAAGTGAGAAGTGTAAAAAAATACTAATTAGATAACTATGCAGCAACACACACCGAAAGATCTGTTTCTGAAGTCAACTATTCTACCTGCAACTTCCCGCAAAAACAACTTCTATAATTCAACCTTTAATTTTTGGGTATTATATAAAAGCTGTTCAGTAAATGATGAAAATAATTGAATTTTGTGAAAATGCAAGGATTTTAAAGGAGATAAGTAAGTTGATATCTCTGCAACAGAGCATTGTATTATAGTCAATGCTGGGGATTAATCTCTAAAATCAGATAAAAACTTTTTTAAACAAGTGGTTTTTATGTAGAGGAAGCCTCAGAGGAATTACAAACTACAGCTAATTTTCACACATTAGAGAGGGAAGTTATGAAGATTCATTTTCAGAATAAGTATCAATTTACAACAAAACTGACTATAAAAGTTGTAAAAGAACAGTAGAAACTGACAGCAAAAACATTGCAGAAAAAAGTGCTGATGTGCCATCATCAATAAAAGCACTACAAATTCAAAGAAAAACTCTTGAACTGAAAGATGCCGAATAAAACAGCTACGAATAGTTTTGAGAAATTAAGAATATAATTGAGAAACTGCTGTTCACCAATAAGTTGTTTGTAACAGATAAAATATAAAACATAATTATAAAAATATTTTATGTAGAAAGAAAACAAAAAGTGAATTTCAAAACTGCATAAAAAGCTTGATTTTCAATTTTTTTCAATCAGGTGAAAGTCTATTCAGGCTCCTAAGCTATCCTAGTCCACGTATTCAGGCTCTATCCTTTATGTGTCATGTTGAAAAATTTGAAACCAATTCAGCAATTAATCTTAATTATTAAGAATGCTAACTTTGATAAGCTTAGCATTCTTAATAATTAGGATAAATTGCTGAATTAATTGTTAGATATTATTTTACTTGAAAAGTTAACAATTATGAAATTTAGAATTATGAACTTTTTCAACCACTATTTTCAACACACACATCGCCATTTATTACACTCTGCTGCTTAATAAACTCAAATACGTTTGGAATAGAACTGATTTTAATAAGCGGTAGGTACTGTACTACAACATGGATGCAAAACCCACAGCTCACGACGCACATATGGCTAGCAGTGGACATCTAATCGCTTCTCTATCTCGCGAAGTTAAGTGGAGAGAGGGTAAAGGAAAAGATGGATTTAAGTTATGTCACGCACTTAAAAGTGCAACCAATCAAACCTCTTAACTCTATGAAGACCAAACTGCCCCACACGGCCGTTCATTCAGACGACCACAACCACCTGAAATGGCCAAGATTGTAATCTTGTTTTCTTCCCTCCTCCAAGGTATGCAATAGCAGGTGCAGTTTTCCCAAACACATTGTATCAGTTAAAGTAGACAGCTTGTCCTACGAGGTTTGTTTGTGGTTTCTTATTTTTAGGTTACGCGTAACAATTCATTGTTGATTCTTTTTTGGTACAGCATGCTTTTAAGCTTTAATCAAAATGCATAAATATCACAAAGTTTTAACAAGAAATTGAGGCTATTCTTTTTAATGATACAGGTGAGTCAGATTTGGAATCAGAAGACAGTGATAAGAAAGAAATAGAAAATGAAATAAATGATAATGAAGAAGAAACATTTATAGCAGAAGATGAAGATTAGCAAACAACAAATCTAAAAGTAGATGTTTCAGAAAATTGTAATGAAAATCCAGTAACAAACCGGTCTACTATTGTTAACAATGATGCCATCATTTTGTCCCATTTAACAGCGTTTTGAGACCAATTCATAATTTACCTGTCGATGCTTCACCTTTACAATATGTAAAGTTGTTTCTTACAGATGAAATTTGTGAATTAATTCTCATAAATACACTGCTCGACATTGAAAATGCAACACCAAGAAGGAGCTATCAGAAATTTATGCAAATTTTAGAGTAGACGCACGTCACGAGCACTGTGCATCGGCTATGGCAAACATGTTTGGAACAAGGAAATGTGGGATGAACGGGGTTCATACACATTTCCTTACATGAAAATTAAGGACTTTTAAGGACCATCAAAGAAAAAATTAAGGACCTATCAGCAAACAAAAAAATGAATAGAATAAAGCAATTATCCATACAACCGACTTCATGCTTGTAATTCCACTTTAAGAAACTAACAGAAGTGTGTATTATGCACTATTATAAATTCAATTTAATACTTATCAAAAACATAAAACAATTTTGAAAATTAAACTAACTCCCTACAAGTTATCAAAGGCAGATAACATTAAATTAGGAACATATAAGATCTTGAAAAACATGTATAAGTGTATTTTAGCACTAATAACAGTCATACGTATTTTAGAGATTTACATGATTATTATTTAACTTATT